CCCCAAATTGATGATGTATAGGTTTCATGCAATTCCTTTCAAAATCCCAGCAGGATATTTTGTAGATACAGAGGACCTGATTCTGAAAGTTATATAGAAAGAAACAAGAATAGCTAAGAGAATTTTGAGAAAGAAGAATAAAGGTGGAGGAATTACATTACCTGATTTTAAGGCTTATCACATAGCTACAGTAATCAAGACTGTGTGGTATTGGGGAAGAGATGGACACATAGATCAATGGAACAGGACAGAGAGTCCAAATACAGAAGCACACAAATAAGGCCAACTGATATTCTACAAACTTTCAAAAGTAATTCGATGGAGGAAGGATTGTTTCTTTTCAACAAATGGTGTTGGAACAATTGGACATCCAGGCCAAACAAAAAACAAAAAACAAAAAACAAAAAACAAAAAAACCCAAAAACCTCGATCTAAACTTTGTACCTTGTAAAAAAAAATTAACTTAAAATTGATCATAGATCTAAATATAAAATGTATAATACTAAAACTTTTAGAACAAAACAGGAGAAAAATAGTTATTACCTAGACTTAAGGCCAGGAAAAATTTTCTTAGATATGAGACCAAAAGCACAATCCATAAAAGAAAGAAATCAATCAATTGGACCTCATTCAAATGAAGGGTCTTTTGTTCTGTAAAAGTATTATTGAAGAGGATGAAAAGACAAACCACAGCCTGGAGAAAATCTTTGCAAATCATACATCTGATTTGAAGACTTGCATCCAAATGTATAAAGGAAACTGTAAAGTCAACAGTTAGAAAAGAGACAATTCAATTAAAAAGCAGGCAAAGATTTGGACAGACCCTTCACCAAAAAAAGATACACAGATGGCAAATGAGCACACAAAAAGATGCCCAACATCATTAGGCATCAGGGAAATGCAAATTAAAGCCACGAGGAGATCCCATTACACACCCATTGGAACAGCTAACACAAAAAATACTGACAATAGCTGTGCTGGGAAGGATGAGAAACAATTCATGCATGCATCGGTGGAAATGCAAAATTTCCCAGAATGGCTACTCTGGGAGACAATTTGTCAGTTTCTCATTAAGACATGCAAACAGTTACCATATGAACCAGCAATTCCACCGCTGAGTATTTACCATAGAGAAATGAGAATTTGTGTCCATGCAAAAACCTGTATGCAAATGTTCACAGCAGCTTTATTTGTCATAGCCCAGAATATCTCTCAACAGGTGAATGGATAAACAACCTAAGGTATACCCATACAATGGAATAGCACGTATAAATAAAGGAATAAATATTGATCTGCACAACTTGGAAGGATCTCAAGTGTGTGTGTGTGTGTGTGTGTGTGTGTGTGTGTGTGTGTTGGGGGTATTTTGAAGGAGGGTGGTACCTCTGCATTTCAAGTCCTGTGTCAGCAGAGCCCAGGAGGCCTTGCACCCAGGCCTCAGCACAGCTGGCCTCCCCCTCTCTTTCGGTGCAGAGAGGGACTCATCCCCCTGGCGTCAATCCAGCCCCGCAGCGAGGCATGATCCATCTCAACAATATTTTCACACCAACCTCCTCTTGGGGAAGCTAGACTTGATTCCCCTTCCAACCTGTGCCACCACGGACATTTTTCTCTAGTATTTTTCTCCCTTTCTTACGAACGCATGCCTCTTCTCCACTTCCCGAAATCCTGCCTCCTACATCCCTCGAAAGGCATCCTCATTACCTTAGTGAAAAATGCCACCTCCTCATCAAAGGGGACTTTTAGTTTAACCTGCAATGATTTAAGGTTTTTAGTAGAAGGACTACAGTCGTGTACTACTTGGCATTAAATGTAAAAAATTGATGTCACTTTTCTTTTACTACGAATGACGAAATGTACCAGAGCATACGGAACATGGCGTGTGTGGGCCCCTCCTCGCCTGGTCAATGTCGGCTGCTGTGGAGGGCTCCCCCGGGGCCAAGCCCTCCCCTTGAGGAGCAGGTCTGGTCCTTCCTACTGCATCATCAGTTCTTTTCCCTTTCTAGTAAGTCATTTCTATCAGTTAAGTATCCCAATAAGTTGTTATCTCTTTTAGCCAAAAAGGACATTTCCCTGGACCCTATTTCCTTCTCCAGTCACAGCCAGTCCCAGAAAGCGGTGTCTCTTCTCACTCTCTTCCACTTCTCTCCCCCCTCTTCTCTCCTGTCTCTATTCAGATCTTCGCCTGCTCCTCCCAACACAGACCTTGCTTACCAAATCCATGATGCTCTCCAGCTGCCACCTCCATGATCTCACAGCAGTGCTTACACAGGTGGTCACTCTCTCCTCTTAAAGCTCCGTCTCCGCTTGCCTCCTCAGGTGCTACACTCTCCTGGCCTCCCTCCCACCTGGCTGGCCCCTGCCCCCCATCTTCCCCCACCATCCCTTCTCTGCTGGCTCCTTTCACCACACGATCTGCTAAAGCTGCAGGGCCCCCGGGCTCAGTTTTTGCTTCCTTTTCCCACACTCGTTCCTCTGGTGAACTCATGCACTCTCATGGTGTTGCAGACCGCATCCCATCTAACTTACGATGCACCACCAAGTTCAAGTGCCACCAGGAAACACTGCCAATGAAACTCTTACCCCTCACCATTCCAACTGCAGGTTTCCCTTTACTCTCAGAGTCCTTGGACTGCCGTGGGGTGAGGGGTAATGCTTCTCTGGACCCAGCCCCCTGTGGGGGAACAGGATGCAGACCCTTCTCTTTATTTTTTCTCCCCCGTTCTCTTTACCTCCCAGGCTGTGGGATCCTAACATGGTGTTGGGGAGGTATCCTTTCACATGTGTGATTGTGTACATCGTAAATTTGTTCTCGGGGGTTGTACAGTGTACAACCTGCACAACCATATATTGTTGCCTGACTTCACTCATTTTTCCATATCGTGTTTTTTCTTTATTTATAATACCCTGTCCTAAACTTTTGAGACTTAAGAGTGAGAATGAGACTCTTATGTTCTGTTCATTCTTCCCTGTCATATGGCAAAGGCCACAGTCATGGGCTTTGCTCCACTTGGGTACCCCTGACCCCATCAGTGTGATTAGAAGTAGCCAGGCCCTAGCTGACATAAGCTTGGGAGCCTATCCTGGAACCAGTCACAGTGACAAGGGGTGACATTCCCTTGTTTTGTTTAGCCCAATCCAAACTCTGCCCTGGGTATGGGGGTGGAGTCAGTCCCAACCAAGTGTCAAGGCTGCTACTAACGGGGGAGGGATAGGATGAATGGGGCATCCATGGGGTCTACTCCATGAGGTCAAAGGCAGGGAAAGCATTTGGGAGATGGAAGTGACTGGAGCCTGTGTTGAGGCCCACAGACAGGAAAAGGTTCAGGATGTTGGAGGGAAAATACCTGTATTTGATTATTAACAAAATCCTAGAAAAGTAGTAAGGATAGAGCGCAGGGGAAGGACAGTGCTGGGTTTACAACAAAGGGATGGATCTTCTTCCAGGCAAGAGGGTGGTGGGGAGACCCGTTTGCTCGAGTGACAGAAAGACCATTAGGGACATTCCTCAATGACCTCGTGTCCCCTATTAGGAGAAGTACTGTCTGTACAGGCATTGGCATCATGGGCAGCTTTGTATACTTCTTGGGACGTGCCGGTGGGCAATTCTAACCAGTTTTTTCCATTAGTGAGAACTCTTACTGTTGTAAGGGATCGTTCACTCCAAGGCTAGGATTTTGATTTACTTCTCAAATGAATAGGAAAAACGTCTACGTTACACCTGCAGAATCTGGGAGAATGTACCATGATGTGAGGAGACGTGGGCACAAAGGCTTTTTAAAAAGTTCCTTGTGGGAATTCATGTTGGTCTGGTGGTTAAGAATGGGGGCTCTGACACCAGGCAGCCTGGGTACGTATCTGGGCTCTGCAACCTTGGGCAGCCTTCTGGCTCTCTCTGTGCCTTGGTTTCTTTGCTAGAAAGTGGGGATGATTTTACTCATAGGGCTATTTTGAGGATCAGAGGCGGTCATATCTGTGCATGTGTAGGAGAGTGACTGGCACGTAACAAACACTCTTCAACGTGAGCCATCGGCATCTATAAGAACCCTACAACATGTCCTCAGTCTGCGTACTTTAGGAGCGAAACTTGATTATTTTCCTAATTCACTGAAACCTAAATTTTCACCGTGCTATTTTCATTGGCGAAAGAGCATGTAGATGTTTAAATCGTGTTTCCATGCAGCCCTATCCAGAGGGTCATCATTGTTTCCTTTCTGGTGGAAGATGCAGAAATCAGCCAGCTGAAAGAGAATCCACTCTAGAACATTCCAGATTCACAACGATGGGAAGCAGTGCTACCGATATGCCTTAATGAATGCTTTATTTGTGAATGTGTTGGGAGTGGCCTCCTCCTTCTCACACTAATACCCTCTCCCTACTTCCCAGCCCAAACGAGAAGAGCTCTGGATGGAAGTACAATCAGGAATTTAGAGATAACATTCATAGGATTATTCAGCAAAATACTACATAGGGAGGACACAGTCCCAGTGACCTTCCACAGTGAGGGAGGGCTCAAACTGTCCTCTGGGAGGAGGCCCAGCTTCAAGTCTGAGGCTTTGACCTGGAATATTCCAGAAGGCTCATTGTTAACACTGTTACTGTGGAAGGTCCCGCTGCTAGGCAGGAGGATGTCCCTGCTATGCAGGGACCTACGTTTCTCCGAACCATTTCAAATTTCTTTCATTCATTCCTGGCGATTTTTAAAAAATTCATATATTTTTTAGTTCTCTCCCAGGGATTAATGAGTCGACTTAATCCAAGTCTTCATAAATAAAATAAAGTCTGGCTTTTTATAACCCATAACCCCTGCTTCGATAGCCCCCGCAGACTCCTGGCATCAGGGTGGACTTCCCATGGGGCTGCTGGGCCCCCGCTGGCTAAGATATGTCCCTTGGGGATGACACACGATGCTGCTGAAGCCACATCTTTAGGCTGTTCGTGAGTCTGCTGCCCCATCCTTGTTCCCCCTTCTCCGCTAAGGAAATCACTGCAATGGAAACTAGCAGGTTTTCCGTTCTCCTGAAAAAAACAAAAACAAACAGACAGACAAAACCCCACAAGAAATGAGAATATTTGACCAGCTGGCACACTACAACGTTCATGGGGAAGTCGAAGCACTTGGTCCTGTCCGATAGAAAATGCCCTACTTTTCCTGTTAAAAGCACCTGAGATATAGAACTTATGTTTTCCCTAAGACGAATCTAGCTGTAAATGGAAAGTAGATCTTCTGACCCCGCCAGGATGAGGTCCACACTGCTCACAGATGCGGCTGGCCTGGGTCTTTTGCCCCCTCACAAAACGCCATTTCCTTAGTTTCTCTATATCCCTTAGGGGTATCAGAGTGTGGCCTACACAGCAGGAGGCACTAGGTCAAAAAGGGTTTAAGAGCATCGGTGTTCACGCACGGTCTTGTGTGTGTCGCCTTCTAGAAGCCACGGTCGTCCTAAAGCAATCATGGCCGCATGTCTTGGCTTCTCAGGAGGCTGCTGAATATCACATGGTCTTGCTCCCCTCTTAGTCTTTCATAATTTAAAAATGCAGGAAGCTGTGGAAGACTGCCCCATGCCCAGTATCATCCCAAAGAAAACTGGGGGGTGGGGGGCAGAGGCTACTCTCTGCTCCTGCGTGTTAACGTTCCTCAACAGCTTTTGAAAAGTTGATTGTTACACCTTCCTTTCATTTCTTGGGGTTTTCATATTCGCGTCTGGCGAACGCTGGAAGTCTGCAAGATGGATAGAAAAGGTTTGGTGAGTCCCTTAATCCGAAAAGCAGAACACACACCCTCCTGATAAACAGCTTGGGGGAGATCACGATTTGAGATCCCATGATCTGCTATGTCAGAGGAAGATCTGCAGAAGGAAACATGCACTGAGGTCAGTCTTGCCAGGGTGAAGTAAACCCAACCTCCTTAAAAGAGTAAGACAATATTCCTTTCTTCTCCCTTCCCTGAAATGCCCTGAAAAAGAGGAAGAGGTTCCTTTGGGCCGTGCAACCCAGGACAACGTTGCAGCGTGTATTTGAAATTCAAATGCACATGAGATTCGTGCATTTTATTTTTCCTGTGGCTCAAATCTCCTAAATAAAAAGCATTTCCCCTGGGTCGGCGCTCCCGCCCCCGTGCTGGCGAGGGGGTGGGGGACGGGGGGGGGGGGTGCTCCATGTGAGGTCAGCGTTTGGGTCACTTTGCCAGGGGCAGGAGGCTGTTCTTCCAGGAAGGCCTGCAGAGACCCTGGGAACGGGACCAGCCCAGCTCGCAAGTATGAAGAGAATGTCGGAGAGGAAGTGGTGGCTGTGAGTCAGCGTGAGTCATCTTGTTCCAATGAGAATGAAGACTGAGGTGTGCGCCCTTTTTTTTTTCTTTTTCTTTTTCTTCTTTTTTTTTTTTTTTTTTTTTTTTCTCTCTCTCTCTCCCCTCTCTCTCTCTCCCCCCCCCCCTTTTTTTTTCCTCTTTGGTCTCAGTCATGGGGACACCATTGGGAATGGAGGGAAGCCAGTGACTGCATGCTAGAAGCTTTCTAAGTTGCGCACTGATATTCCAGGCCGGCTGTGCCTGAGCCAGTGTGGGCTTAAGTTCTTCACGGCCCCGGGGCCCTGGGAAGGTGGAGCCAGCTGCTTCTCCCCGGTGAGTAGGTTTCTGTCATTTTTACAATCATTTCTATAGTCTGCCTCAGAGGCTCGGCTGGGTTAAAGCACTGCCCTCTTGGAAGGGACACCGCATTCGAGACTTCAAGGATCCATAATTTTAGAAAAGTTGCTTCTTCTGCCCCCACGCCCAGGACGACTGTATTTTAGGCTGCTTGTCTCCGTCATTAATTGGGAGCGTGTAGCTATTCGTCGCATGTTATGCTGTCTTGAAACAGACTGTAATGCTTGGTTGGAAAATCAGCTGTTCCAGACTCCCCTCTGGAGCCCTAGGGAAGTTCAGAGATAGAGGTGGGTGAACCTGTGTTAACCCAGGGCTGCCGAGGCTGGGCCAGCTTGTGCTTCTCCGAGGTGAAGGAAGACAGCCCCCTGAGACATTTCTGGCTGCATGATCTGAGCCGCCCAGTTTCTAGTGCAAGAAATACGATAGAGAGGCAGATTTCTGGCTTCCCTCTCTATGGGTATATGACTGATTCTGGGAACGTAGTTTATGCCTTTTCCTTTTGCTCGTGACTGAATATCACTAACTGTGGTAAAATCAGAAAGAAAATGTGCTGGGGGCTGGGGGCTGGTGGGCTGGGGGCCTGGGGGGCCTGGGGGCCTGGGGCGCCTGGGGCGCCTGGGGCAGTGGGTGAGGATTGGGTAGTTGAGCCCTTGAGGCCTGATACGACCTTGATATGCGTTTCTCAGCCTGTTACTATTCTGATGAGACTGAGCCTTACAGTCAAGGAAACTACAGGAAACTTTTTTTTTTTTTAAATGTCATTCTAGTTACTGTAAATGAAACGGTTAAAATGTCATAAATACCTTGTGATAAACATTTTTTGAATTTGCTTAAAAAAACTGCACATCAGTAAGCAGGGGATGGCAGGGAGCTTTTTCAGTAGGGTCATTTGAGTGTGTGGGCTTTCTGGGTTAATAATGAGTCAGCACCAATTGCTAAAATTGGAGCACCTCAAAGAGCACATGCGATCTGCCCCCGGGCACAGCACGGTGGCTGGCTGGCCCCTCCAGGACGTTTGGGCTGTTTGGTCTGTGGTTAGAATCGGCTTTGGGTGCGTTCCCAGTTCTGTGACCCCCACCCCCTCCCAGCTTTAGTCCCAGCCCTTCCTTGTGCCCCTGTGAGGCCCCTTTGCTAACAGGTCCCTGTGTGGAGACCCTCCCCTTTGGATGATCTTTTTCAGGGTCTGCCTTGACAGAACTGGTTGAGCATACAATTTGTTAAGTTAAAAATCCAGAGCTTGTGAAGGGCTGGGACAGCCCAGGGTTAAAAGCTGCCTCTGTTGTCGCGTGACATCACACTTGCGGGGGGACCGAGTGGCGCAGGGAGCGGGTCCCTGCTTGAGCTTCAAAGCTGGCATTCTGCAGGTGACACATAGCGGGGGGAAGGAAGGGCGCGTCACCTTAAAATCAGAGAGTAGGATTCCGAGGAAGAAAATCTCCCTTGCATCATACTCTTTTTATCTGTAAACTGAGAACTGTGTTAAGGAACACAAAATTTTTTAATAACTGGGGTTGCAGGTGGGCGGCTCAAAGGCCAAATGCAGTCCTGTGTGAGCCCACCCCCGCCCCCCAACAAATCCTGTTCGCCCGCCCAGGATTGGGTCTTTGTATTCAGCTGACTCTGGTGAGACCCCCTATTGGTTAGATCGCAGGCCCTGTGAACCCTAACATGGCAAGGCTCTGATGGCCTTGGCTTGGAAGCCTTGGGCTTCTGGACCATGATATTCAGAGGCTGCTGGGAGGGCTCAGAGAGGTAGCATCTGTCCAGTGCTTGCTTCCAATAGGGCCTGGACACAGAAGGAGCCCCATCGATGTTAGCTCTACTGGCTTCCCTCCTTACCTGGACTCTGGAGGTATCTGGGCTTGTGGCCCCTGAGCAGTGACTTTTCCAGGCAAGATCCCATGATTTCAGTGTCCTCGGTGGCAAGGCTGAGAGTCTCGAAACTCAGGACCTCAGCAAGGCACACACCAGGGATTTCCGAGGTGGGATCCCAGCCCACTCTGTCTCTCTCGATGAGTAATCTCTGTAAGTGCTCAGAGAAATGCCATCTTCATGGAGAGCAGAGCCCAAAAAGGTGAAATGCCCTAGGCCGTGCCTCAGTGGTTTGTCCACACTGGCACTTTCTCTTGTCCCCATTTCAGAGAACATGCCAGGTATCAGACGGGTGTTTATCACCGGCTCCCGTGTCTTAATCCTCCTGGATAAACGCTGTTGGGAAGGAGATATAAGCCTGTGGTGAACTGATATGATCACTCTGATAATCAGGAGAGTCATGTAAAAAAGGCCAGAAATAAGGCCACGGGCAGGTCTGAAAACAGAGCGTTCATTAATACGATTTGCTGCTTTGTCATATTTTCCAACTACCAAAAGATGCTGATTCTAAGTGAGGGTGCAGGCAGGGAGTAAGAAAAGAAAGTAAGAAAAGAAAGATAGAAACTGGGCAGATCTATTTTAAAAGGACACCTACTGCAAAAAGAAAATGCTGACAATTTGATGATATTTGGAAATTGCCCAGTGCCCTCTGGCCATGGCTCCCTCAGCTTAGAGACTGGCCTATCGCTGGCCGGCCCTGTCGACCACCCCGCACCCTTCGGCAGCACCCCAGCCTGGGCTCTGGTTACCTCCCTCCAGGAGGTTTTCACGGTCCCTGACGGGTGTCCCCGCTAGCCGTTGATGTACGGAGAGCTCACCCTCACGCTGGACAAGCTGCTGAACTTCTTGGGGTCTCACCATCCTCATTTGTGAAATGGGGTTAATGAGACGACCAGCCTCTTGGGGCCTTGGAAAGATCGGTGATGCTTAGCACGCAAGTTACAAGGGGACTCGGCAGCTGCTAAGTACATATCCACTGATTCAGACCTGCGCTCAGACACCTTTCTACGTCTACCTGGGCCCCGGGCCCTGGGGGTAGCCATAAAGAATTGGTTTTCATGCTCCTGGAGTGAGATCTCATCTGTGTCCTGCTCTGATTTGTAAGACCTTTATTGATTTGGTAAACGGAGGGTGCTTCAGGGGTCTCTCCAGGAAAACCCGGGGTTCTAGATGTTGTCACTATCCTCACTGCTATGACCACCGTCGTTTTTATCGGTAACATCCTCGCAATGAGAGCAGCTCCCCCTTCCTTCAGCCCAACCACATGGTAGTAACTTTCTGTGCATTTCCTTTAACCCCCTGCCCCCAACGCGCACACGTACCCACCCTGGAGGACAGGAAGGATGGCCAGTTGCTCAACCTATTCCAGGTACGGGAGTCCCAGGCAGGTGTATCAGACGGAGTGGCTGCTTCAAGATGTGCGTGGCTGATGGGGGCGGGGGTGGGGGGGGCGGTCTTCGCCTCCATCAGGAGAGGAGAGTCAGGAGACGCAGGGGGCCAAGAGGGCGCTGTCTGTAATCCAGCAGACTGGGGCCGCAGGCCAGAAAATCCAGGACCACTGGCCTCAGACCTGCTTCCAGGGTGGAAGCAGCTGGATGCTGTCCTCATGCTTCCTGTCTAAAATGAGCTGCAGGCAACCTCTGGTGATTTGAAAATCATCGCAATATATGGAGGTGACTCATATTGAAAACATTAAGTAAGGTACACTTAAAACTAAAACCAGGGTGAGCATAATATGGCCTTTCCTTGCCATTTCTGAAGATATCCAAGATCACGCGGTGCCCCAGAAGCCAAATCTTTACGCTCATTCTTCAGGGTCCGAGAGAAGGGACCACATGGGTCGCCTTGCTCAATCAGCCCTCTCTGGTATTGCAAAGTCAGGCATCGGGTGCTTCAGACATCTCTTTTCTGAGAGTTTAGGCTTTGGCTGCTGAGCATGGCTGTCTCAGTTAGAAACGGTACCACTTTGTGGGTGGTTTTCTCCCACAGCGGTTACCTGTGCCAAAATCCAGAAGCCCCTTTTTGTTCACAGCGTGGTGGCAGGGGAGTCGTGTGAGTCGTGTGCCGGGCCCAGTGATTTGGGGCAGAGCTTGGGTTCCTCACAACTTCAAGAGGGTTCTGGTTAGACCACAGAGCTCAGGCAGGGAGAAGCCAACAGAGGATCAGAAGGAAGTTGGGTCCACCGGAAGGAGGAGAGGTTGGGAGGCTTGATGACTCCTCTGATTAAAAAAAAAAAAAAAAGAAGAAGAAGAAGAAAAACAATAACCATCTGGTTTTATTGCATTTTTTATAATCAAAAAAGCTAATGGTGATGGCAAATCTTATCCATTGCGGTTCTCCTGCTTAACTTTTGCATTTAGGATTGATTACCCTGCAACTGAGGGCTTTTAAAAGCCCAGAGGCTTTTAGCCTTTCCCTCCATGCTGTCCTTTCAAAAATTTATCATACTTATAATATTGGAATTTTTGGCAATGGCAGAAATGTATCACTTTAGCTGTTCTCCCTGGACAAATCTTTCATAGAGTGTGAGAGGGATGCATGGGTTTCTACCAATGTAGACAGATATAAAGGAAATCTTTACAAAATAACAGTGGCTCCAGCAAGTGTCAAGCTTGCTTTCTCTCAGACAGAAAAAGATTGGAAGCAGGCTGCTCCGGGTGATGGTCAACGGGCAGCTAGTTCATTCATCTCTCTTTTCTGTTATCATTAGCATCGACTTCCTTCCTCAAAGTTATCACTTGGTTTTAATATGGCTGCTGGAGCTCCAGCCATCGCCTCTGCGTTCCACATAGGAGGAAAGAGGAAAGTGGAGGGATAAAAAGCTAAGCATTCTAGACATCAGGCTCCTTTAAAGAGCTTTCCCAGAATCCCCAACTAACCATTTCTGCCTACATCTTTTATTGGCCACTGTTTCTGTACGGCAGCCAGAGGAATATAGCTTTTTAATTGGGACCATTGCTGCCCCTGACAACGTAAGGGTTGTTGACAACACAGGAAGTAAAGGAGAATGGATATAGGACAGACAACAAGCAGTCTCCACAACAGAGTGCGCCAGAAGACAGCTAGATTTATGCTTTACGGCATTTAGCTCCTCTGGGACCAGGGTCTACTTTGTGAAATAACCACATCGGGCTCATCAGAACTATCAGGAGGAGACTGGCTTCAAGAGCCCCGAACAACTTGGAGCGGGGCATTCAACGGGACAGAAACCGCTTGCTTTTTGTATTAGAGTCACATAAGATTTCTTTTCATGCCTCCATTAGCAAATATTTACCATTTCCCCAATAAAATAAAGATAATTCGAACACTGCTTTGTTTCCTGAGTGCTTGCTCGGTGCCGGGTGCTGTTCTGGATGCTTTGCAAATATGACCTTACTTCAGTTCACACAGACCTGTGTGTGGCAGATCACCATTATTGTCCCCATCAAGCAGACGAGGAATCTGGGACACGGAAGGGTTAGGGGTGATGGCAAAATTACACCGTTAGTAAGGAATGGAGCTTGGCTTTGAACCCAGCAGTCCGGTTCTTTGACCCAGGGATGCGGAGGTGAGGCGGGCAGACCAGGTCTTTCCCATTTGTCTTTCTGGTGAAATAGACAGGAGCCCAATAATGTCAGGCTGCTGTCAGTGCCCCAGCGGAAGGGCGCAGGGAGGTGGGGCGCCCTCACGTCCCGCAGCACCTCCTGCCTGGAGGGAACTCAGTCCAAGCTGAGCGTTCTTTCCCCCACAGAGCACACACCAGGAATCTCAGCTATGTCTGGGTTCATGACTCACCCCCTCCCTCGCAGCCAGCTTTTCCAGAGTCAGCTCCTGAGTCAGGACCACGCCCTTCCAGCCCTGAGGATACAGACGGGGCTTCATCCAGACTGGGCTTCAAAGCTTCGGCAGCGGTCCAGCAAAGAGCAGAATGGCCCAAGTAGAAAAGTTTCGGTTCCAAGGACGCGCAGTGTATTCACATAATTCAACCTGCGCGAAGGCCAGAGAAGGTGAGCCTGTCACACCCTCTGCTCCACACGACCCCGTTATCTGGTGGCACAACCAGGGCCACGAGGATGCCTGAGAACAAGATGGATTTTTCGGTAAGGGGCGTCTGCTTAATTCTACCTCGGACCAAGTCCCCTCCTGTGTTTTGCTTGGCACCGTCCCGGAGCCTTACTCCGTGCCTCCATTTTCCTCCTCCAGCTCCTTTACAGACAGACAGATGGACTGGCCAATGAAACACACAGGCTGCGGTGGGTAGTGGGGATTTTAGGAAAGCTCCTTAAAGGAGCCTGGCATCTACGAGGCTTAACGTTTTGTCCCCCACTTCCCTCCGTCCTCCTGTGTGGAATGCAGAGGTGATGGCTGGACCTCCAGCAGCCTCCTTGAAGTCAGAAGACAACTTGGAGAAAGCAAGCCAGTGCTAACGACGGCAGAGCAGGCAGATAGTCACAGGGCTTTGCCTGGAGATGTAACTATTTTTGGAGTGGGTTTACCTGCATGATGCAGAGGGAGGTATGAGAAATCACTGCTGAAATTCAATCTGTAGGTCAACCAGGAGGGTCTGTGGGGTGCCAGTTCCCTTTGTATGGAGCTGTCTTTTATGCCTCTGGAATAAGGAACGAGGAAGGACTCAGGGCTGCATCCCCGGGTTATGGACTTTAGTGGCCCCTTCCTCATGTGAGAACATACGATGACCGTCTTGGTGTAAAGATAAATGTCATGCAAACGGGATTCATTGTTATGTATTCATATTCACTATGTTCAGGTTTTTCTTCTGATTTTGAAATAAACGGAAACATTTGATTTGCAAGAGTATTATGCAGAGGGTGGCCCCGGGAGGGCAGAGGGCAACCACAGGAGGGCCTCCAGAGAAGGGAGCATGGGGGCTGGTCCCTGGAGGGGCGCCTCTGGATGGCGGGTGGCCCCGAGCAGCCTCTCTGCAGACGGCAGGTGCGCCCGGCTTCTCCTGGGGTCTTGATGAGCCTCAGCGGCCACGACACTCCTGTCGCCTCTGGAAATGATACTGAGGATTTTCAGAGCAGATAGATATGCCCTTCCTGTGCCACCTTTCCCATCGTCCCTCATCTCCCCTATAATTGCTCTGCGTGTCCAGTTGTCCTGTTCAGTGGGAGGAATTTCGGTCTACAGGGCTAAGATATCAAAAATCTAACACTCCCTTATTCCTGAAGTCTCTACATTATATCAGATCTGCTTTGCCCTCATGCTGCTGCTACGTTACCCCCTCAACCTGGCTGAGGGCACATTCAGATTTGGTCATTCTTGGGGATCTCTGTCCCAGTGCTCCTGGCATCCTCACACAGCCTCAGGGCTGTGAGATGCCAGAAAACCAGAGCGGGGCAATCTGCGATCCAAGGTGGTCACCACGATTCCCACTCGACACCTAAGACCCAGCACCTGTGGGGCTGCGGAGTTGGTTGGGGGCCCCCGCTCCAGCTGGAGGGGCCCGCACGACCCGGTTGTCTGTCCCTGAATTTGGGCCCTTTCTGGAAACGTGCCCCTGCTTTCCTGACCATGCTGTGAGCTCCCAGCCCGTGCAGCTGAGGAGTATCCGGTGGGGGGCCCCCTTCACATGCCTCATCCTGTCCGCTAACTGCTGCTGGGCCTCTCGTCACTTGGAGCCCCCCATCTTGGTGTGGGGGTGGGGGTTGGTAAGAAAGAACAGTGATGGCAGGGCACCCTCGAAGGACCAGGGAACAGCACTGTCCAACCGAACTTCCTGTGATGATGGAATGTTCTAGATCAGTGTTCACATGTAGCCACAAGCCACCACGTGCGGCTACTGAGCACTTGCAAAGGGGCCAATGCGACTGAGGAGTTGGACCTAAACTTCTATTTTATTTTGATTAGTTTCAGATTTCAATGCCCAAATGGCCACATGTGGCTAGTGGCTGCCATATCGGAAAGCCCAAATCTAGAGCATGTTTTCCTGATCTGGGCAGCTTTGAAAGATGGGCCATCGCCCTGAGGACGGATGTGGTACTGGTGTGAAGGGGTGAAGTTGAGTCTGGCTCTCAGTCAGTCCTCAGCGAGGTGGAGAGCTTCTGGGCCAGGAACTATGGGCCAGGCAGGTAGGGGGCCACCAGTGCCACTAGGGCAAGCCTTGTCCCCCCCTTCTGGGCATAAAACCTGAGTTGGGCCTTCAAGGTCTCCAGTGGCCCAGAAGAATGACCTGCCCAGCAGGTAGCCCAGGTTGGGCACCTGTTTTCTAGAGCATTTCTGCCGGTTGTGTTGATGGTTTCTTCAGGCCTCACCTGAGGCCCACACGACAGACGGTCCCGGCTTGTGGTACTTGACCCTGCACATTCCTGTCTGGGGAGACGCATCCTCATTTTTGTCTGCGTGGAGCTGTTCCAGGGACTGACCAGAGTGGCCTAAGGGAAGCCTCAGGCTTGGTTCCTGTCACTGTCGTTCTACAAGTCCCCAAGACGTGTCTTTTGACTCTTTCGGCTTTTTAAGGGAGAAGGATTAGCCCATATTCAGCCACGACAGACAGGAAACACACAAGCAGCCGGGAGATACGGTGAATGGGCGGAAGATCGCACACTCAGGCCCCAGGCCCGTGCCCCTCCTCCCCTCTGCCCTGTTCCACTGCAGCATCACAGCACAGCAAAATGATGCTCCCCCACGGTGCCCCTGAAGTCACCCCCAAATTCCAGGACTTTGCTTCCGGCCACTCCCCCAGGCACGGTGCTGTGTGTTCTATTCCACGGACCATCTGTCAGTGGGGCGGCCACGAGCCACCCGGATGAAGCCAGCTCAGCTCCGCCAGCTTCTCGCTGCCCAGCGCCCATGCCTGCCAGTCTCAGTCTCTTAACCTGTGAAATGGGAATATAGGAGTCACTGCCACAGAGGGCTGTTGTGAGGATGAAAGGGGTCAGTGCCTGAAGAAGTCTTAGCAAAGTGCTGCCCACAGTAGGTGTTACAGCAGGAGCTGTTGTTGTTGGAATTGCTGCCTTTTTGCTGTTTGTTCCTGACCAGAGACACCTTTCTCTGGGCCCCGGATCTCCACCCAGCAGTGGCCCATCCACTCCAACTTGGGCATCCGGGGAATCCCATCATCCTGCCTCCATGTTTCATTTTCTCCAGGCCCCGGGCAGCATGAGCTGTATTATCTTAGAACTCGGGAGACTGATTCGATTGTC